AGTTTCTCTTCGACTCTTGATTGTCTTTGCATGATTTCAAATTGGATTTTTTTGATATCAGCCAATTCAGACATCAAAATGTCGAAGTTACTCTGTTTTGCTTCACCGTCGTCCCACTCACCTTCATCCCCCAATACAACCATCCCTCCTTTCTTCTCCTCTGCCTCCACTGCCTCCTCTACATCCTTGCCAATAACCTTCAAAAAATTAAATTACAATATTAAGACATTGATTATATTCTTAATATTATTTAATTACATTTATTACCATTTCTTGCTTCTTCCCTCTATCCAACTTCAACTTCACCATCACTCTAACCACCTCTTCCTTCCCCCATGCACGGATGCGTGCCACTCCGGTTCTTTCATAAGCCGGCACTGCCTCACAGCCCGACCAAAAATCGAACAGTGCAACCTGCATTTATAATAAAATTTATATTTTTATATAAAAACACAAAAAGTGATTCAACTCATTTACCTCTAAGATTGCTATGCACCCTTTGAGGTATCTCTGGCTGCCCTTTTTAAAGGTGATTATTGATTCAATCAATCTCGAATGGATATATTCAGCCCAATTGAATTCACCCTTCAAGCCTTCATCGCAAATGAGCTTCATATATTCCTTGTTCGTTGACGTATCACCCGTTGGACAAAGAAATATCCCGACAAGGTACAATAGAACTCGGGCCTTCAGCTCATCCCCCAAGTAAGATCCACTTTTGATATCCTCTTCAACTTCAGTATATGTCACCTTATGATTCAAACCATATTTGGAGGCAAGTGCTTTCCAGTTCTTACTCCTACAGACTTCTATAACACTTTTGCCTTTGTTTTGTACCCCCAATACGGCTGCAGCAGTCGATACCCCCAGAGGGAATGAATAATCACCATACTTAGCCATACATTGACTGACGTCAAATTGTGCCATCAAGGATCGACACAATTCCCTCCGAATAGGTCGATCCCTTACTCCGATCAACGATCCAAAACCTATTTCTCCCAGCACATTCAACTGACCCTTCTCCTTAAGGTGTTTAATTAATAAATTCACCCTTTTAATGTTGCATCTTGTCGACACTTCCTACATTTTTTAACAATATATAATGTTATAGTTCTTATATATTTGTATCAACGTATTTACAAGTTTAATGAATACCTTATTTTCGGGGGCTTTCCTCCGTTCTTTGTATTCTTTACTATCATTCCTTGACTGTGTGATGTAAGGTTCCTTTTCAGCATCACTCATTGAATTCCATTTGGACCTCACATCTTTTTTCACCTAATATTAAACATAAACGTTTCTTAATCAATACATTAACACTAAATACTAATACTACTCAATGTCAATTTCATTTTACATACCGAACCGCTCTGTGTGCCATCTCCCTTCATCCTTTTGCATTCGGCCATACTGTTAACATTTAAAATTTGTAATCAATTTAAAGTTTATCGATACTTTAATCCAATTACCATTTCAACAATAATAACAAAAAGACATTGATACTTACTAGAAGTACATATATCCACCCTTTGGTTGCTTTCGAGTCTCGGCCTCAATTTCAAAGTCATCTGCTCCACCAACAATTTTCCAACCCATTGACTCCATTTTCCTTCATATATCAGTTTACGCAAATCAAATTATTTTGTTACATACACTTTTGAATATACAAATATAGATAACTACTCTTGTGGTAAAACGGTTTTCTTCAAAAGAATTTGAATGGCCACACCAAAATGTGTCGGCACATTTATACAACCTATAATATCATTTTCTACCTATAATATTTAATAAAAGTATCGACATTTATATTTTTCCTTGAATATCTATTTCTACCTGCAATCGGTCCCAAATGCTTCCTTACTCCAAAACCCCAAACAACACATAAAAAACCCTATCGCGATTACTGTAATAATAAAAAATTAGGGTTTCGACAACATACTTTTCGATTCGACTGCAGCAACAAACAAACAAACTTCGCTTTAGAAACGCCTTCTGAAATGCAGCAACAATTACTCTTCGATTTCAAAAACTCGTCCGTTCTATCTTTTTTCAGAGGATATTTAGCTATGGCCTTTATATTTTCATCGGATATGTTATTTATATTTAATCGATACAAATACAAAAGTGTCGATACTTTTATGTCAGGTGTCGATACTTTCGAAAGGATAATTACCTATTTCTTTGAAAGTGTCGATAATTTATTACACGTACTTACGAAAGTATCGACACTTTCAATATATCCGGTATCATTTTACCGGTTTTATCATTTTGTTACCGGTTTTATCATATTTTTACCTGTTATATCGTTGTGGATCGATATATTTTTTAAAGTATCGACACATTATAGGCGCTATAACTGCTTCTCTTTTAAATTCACAAAGTGTCGATCCTTATATAACGTATCGACACTTTTAAATTTACCGGTTTTATCATTTTGTTACCGGTTTTATCATATTTTTACCTGGTATATCGTTTTGGATCGATATATTTTTAAAAGTATCGACACTTTTTAGGATTTAAAACTGCTTTTAAAGTTATGTAATTTATGTTTCAATTTATTTAATAGTGTTTCATGTTTTCTACCTACAATATTAATTTAATAATTTAATTTACACAAAATTTTATTTGATTGTTTGATATTTTATAAAATATTATTTAGAATTTAAATTTAACAATATTAACCAAATAATTTAATAAATATGTTTTCAACAGTGAAATAAGTATGGACACTTTTATAAAAATGATATATACTTTTTTGAAAGTTATGTAATTTATGTTTCAATTTTTTTAATAGTGTTTCATGTTTTCCACCTACAATATTAATTTAATAATTTAATTTACACAAAAAATTATTTGATTGTTTTGATATTTTATAAAATATTATTTAGATTTTAAATTTAACAATATTAACTAAAGATAATAATAAATATATTTTCACAGTGAAATAAGTATGGACACTTTTATAAAAAGGATAGATAATTTACAATATAACAGGTAAAAATATGACAAAACCAGATTCATTATGACAAAACCGGTAAAATTTACTTGATATGTTAAACGTATGGACACTTTTATAAAAAGGATAGATACTTACCGATAACCAAAGTTTACCGGTTACCAAATTTTTTAATAGTTTTTCATATTTTCTACCTAAAACATTATTAGTTGTCAACATAATAGGTACCGCTAAACCGAATTTATTAAATACATTTTAATGTATCCGGTAATGCTGTATATTAGCCGTATATTAACCCGCCTTTCCTGAGACAATCCCACTTTTATTCAACATTCAATTTATCTTTTTCGTTTTTATAATAATTTTCATAACAATTTAACCTCAAAATTATCTAGGAATTTATCTTAACTTTCAAAGTCCGTTGATCATTTTAATTAATAGAATCATGAGTCTTCTACATATTTGGATTAAGGATTTAAATTAAAATATTTACTAAATACAATGATTAAAAAATTGCTAAAATTTTATTATTTATTTTAGTGAAATTAAGGCATTAGGTTAAAATCTTAAGAGTTTTTTTAATTGTTATGTTTAATAGATATTTTATTATTTATTTTTTAAAATAAATATCATATTATCATTAAGTCATGTCAATATTATTAACTGTTATGAAAATTATTGACATCCATAGATATAGAAACTAACTATTCTTTTTGTCAAAACAGATTTTGAAAACTAAAATAATGTCCTTAGATAACTACGAGGATAAATTAATATAAAAATACTATAAAAATAAAAATTAAATAATAAAAGTAACCTTAAGGCTTTTTTTTAATAAATCTTTAGGGTAAATGCACCGAATTATTTATTAATTAAGATAGTGGAGACGAAGTGGTTTGAGTGTCAAAATCAAAGCCATAGAACGTTCAAACAAGCATGCCCAATTCTGATTAATCAATTAATTATTAACTAATCAATTCTGAGTTTTATGCACTTTTATAAAAATTGTAAGAAAAATAAAGGGTGAGTCTAAATATACTAAATAATCAATTAAATTCATCAATTTTAGTGTAATTATTATTATTTTTTATTTTTTATTAAAGTTTTCTTATCATTATGTTTTTTGTTTCTTTTTTTATAATTAAGTAATAATTATCTATTTTTAAATTTTTGTTATCTTTTTTACTTATTTAATTATTCATATATATATAATTTTATATTTTATGTTGTTTAATATTTATGTTTTTAAGTCAGCAACTGTATCAAATTATTTTAAAAGCTTCGATGTTTGAATAATTTTATATTTATGTTGCACATATTGAGAAATTTTAATATAAATTTGGACGTTACAGAATGATACTTTAGAAATACAATATTTTATTTAGTTTTTATATTTCCTCTTCAAAATATAAAATCTATTAGTTAGTTTGAAATAATGATTTATCTATATGAATATTTAAAAGCTTCGATGTTTGAATAATTTTATATTTATGTTGCACATATTGAGAAATTTTAATATAAATTTGGACGTTACAGAATGATACTTTAGAAATACAATATTTTATTTAATTTTTATATTTACTCTTCAAAATATAAAATATATTAGTTAGTTTAAAATAATGATTTATATATATGAATATTTTAAATATTTAAAAGTATATTGAATTAATATTAAATTTTATCTATATAGATAAAATTTACTATTAAGGTATTTTTCATTATTAAAGGTTTCTATTAATTTTTTTTCATTTATTTCTTGTATTAAAGTTATTTTAATCAATTTAAACTTTTAAATTGAATTTAAATTTGAATTAATGTTGGATGAGAGCCGCATGTTGAGATTACAAAAAATGGATGAAAAAATAATGAAGAAGATGACAAGAAGATAAGTGGGAGTCCATATCTGATTTCTCTCTCAATCATCGAAAATGATGAGCGGGTTGCTGTGCAGGTGAGTTATTTGTTACATTTAGTAGTGCCCAAATTAAAATATCATAAAACAATGAATTTAAGAGAAAAATTAAAAAGAAAGAGGGCGCTTTGCCTGAACGTTGTGGTCATAGGGAACAAGAACCGGAGATGCGGTATGGAAAACGCCATGAACGCCTTGGATATTGTCATCAAAGCTTCCTTCCTCCATCAAATCAGCTTTGAAAATCTTCAGCCTCTCCTTGGCTCCCTTCATCTCCTTAAGAAACCCCACCTTTTCCTCATTATCTGCTCATTGTAATAAACTAATATTCAGAGAGAGTAATGAAACAAGAAGAGAAAGAGACGGTGGTGCGCACATAGCAACCTCTCCAGCAAAGACTTCACCAGATAAGCAGCGATGAATCCTGTTCCGCCGGTTACACAGTACTCCATCTCTCGTTTTCTACAATCACTACACTATATCTATATCCCCCCGTACTTGCACATATATTCACATACTCTGACGGAATCAAGTTAAAAGTAATCTCAATTTTCTGAATTTATTACTAACTATACTCGTATACCTACCTATATTAAGTATACAATTGTTCACGTGATTGAAAGGTTTAGTGATGATGAGAAGTAAGAGGACCCAAATGGCAAGTACCCATATCCGCACAAGAAATTCATTTCACAAAATAACAAGGAAAAAGCCCATTTTTGTGAGCCCACATGTTGGGAGTTTCCGGTGTACATGGGATAGCAAAATCCCTATATTTCCAACAATTTCATCTCACCATATTTTATACACTTATCCCTTCCTCATATTTTTTGCTCTTCCACGTTTCCGTAACTAATCTTCACTCAAAATTACTCTTTATAGTTTTTTGAGATTAAAATCCTTTTGGAGTAATAATAATATTAAATAAATAATTTATAGAAAAAAAATATAAATTATTAGGCGAAGCTAGTATTTTTATACAAATTATTTGGGTTCAAAATTGAAGATAATATACTAAAAGGACTAAACTTAATTACTAATCTTTAAAAGGAACTTAAAATTAATTTCACCATTTTGGAGGAAAAGCCCCCAATTGTGGTGACCTCTGTTTTGAAAACCGGACCGGACCTACCGGTTCAATCGGTTCAACCGGGAATCGTTGTTTAGTCCGGTTCAATCTAAACCGGTTGAACCACTATTAGTGAACCGGCCAGAACCGTTGAACCGTCGAACCGGATCGGCTGAAAACCGAAAAAAGGGGAAAATCAGGAAAAATCGGGATTTTTGTTTTTTTTTTAAAAAAATTAAACCAAACAACGTCGTTTGTTAAACGAGTCAAGTCGAACTCGAGTATTGTTGAGCTCGACTCGAACTTGAAAACTTTAAAAGTAAGCTCAACTCAACTCAAACTCACAAGCTAAAAATTATCAAGTTCAACTCAAACTCGAAATATAATATTGAATCTTGAACTCAAAAAGGCTTGAACTCAAAAAAAAATTAAAAACTCGATTGAAGCCTAAAATTCGAGCTTGATTGAAGTGAAAGAATAATTATATAATTATAGTTATATAATTTTGTTATGATTTTTTTAAGCTCAAATTTATTTTTTAATTATAGTTATATAATTATATTTATTATTTAATATGTTTTACCTTAAATATTATGTTGTAGTTAATTTGAATCATTTTGTTCTACTTGATTTTATGGTTTTTAACTTATATATGTTATGATTTGCTTTGAATATGACTTGTGATATAAATAATTATTTTTTATTAAATATTTTTGGTATTTTTATTTAATTTTTTAAATAATTATGATGTCGTCCGATTCTTCCGATCGGTCGGACCGATTCGACTGATTAAACCAGTAACCGATAATATGACCGGTTCGCTAACCGATCCGGTTCTGAAAACCACGGTTGTGACACAAGGACATTATCATCTATCTAACGCCGCTGTGAACGACAAATCAGCACACAATAAGTTTAAACCGGGTCCGCATGCAAGGGTTCGATAGAATTCTTTAAGAGACACTAGATTCTAGGAAATGTATTACTTTTTAATATTTATATTTAATTATTCTCAAAAAGATCCTTTCTCTTTCAAACGATAGTCTGAAATAAATATTAAAATATTAAATCTATTTATTTTGATGATATCAATATCATTAATTCAAAGGGTATTATCTTAATTATAATTGTGTTTTAAATATTATGATTATTATTATAATACTATGTTCAATTAAGTAATAATAATTTACATGGGGGCCAGAGTTGTTTTTATTTAAAATGGATGATTTTGGAATCCAAATATTTTAAGTTTGAATCCTTTGACCTTTGGGCTCTGTAGATGATAGCTAATTGATCAGTTGCTGTCTCCTTAAAAAAAATTAAAATACCAATTTCGAAGGCAAATATAAAATATGAGTCAAAGTTAAGAAAATGAATAATAAATATTCTAGTAGTCTTTTATTATAAAATTCTGTAACAAACTGCACCAACTTATAATTTGAACTTATATATAAATGGAAGTATATTACAGATTTGGACCTTCATTTTTTGTTTAAGGGATATTTTAGCTCTCAATTTTTTAAAATAAATAAATTAATTAAGTGTCGTAATTAAAAATCATCTAATTGAGCCTTCAAAGTTTTTAAAGAAAAATTGCATCAATTAAACTGTTCAACAAATGACTGAACTATGAAAGGATCAATGGGGCCGTAACCCTCCTCTATAAGAAAAATATTATTTTTTAGAATATATATTTATATATTTGGTTCGTATAAATTTATTCTTTCAAATGGCACCTACAATAAGTAAACACTTGAATTTAAAAAAAAAATCACGAGAACACGCATCTACATCTTGCATGATCATATACCCATTATTAAGTTGATGTACATTTTCCCTAGGTATATGCATCGTTTTAATCATGGACATCAATGCGTTTAAGTTCATTCCAATAGGACATGTACAATTCAAATATATACACACCGATACATTTAAGACCAGTGCATCCAAATTATGTTAACTACATATGAATTCGGAATAAGTGCATTTTCATATATGACAAAGGTTCACTTTGCACAAAAAATGAGGTATATTAATAAGTTATCAGAGCGATTAATAAGACCTTTGAGTATGATTTTAAGACCTTTAGATTATCCATATGTCTTTCGAGCATGATATTAACTTTTTTAGATATTCTATAAAATCATCGGACATAATATTAATCTTGATGATTTTCATATATTATATAACATATTTCAAGAGAGATCAAATTTGGGACGAGGTTTGTTTTACACCAAATCTGAGGTATTTTAATAAGTTTTTCAAGCATGACGTTAAAACATTTATATTATCTATAAAGTTTTTTAATATGAAGTTAATCTTGATGATTTTTATACTTTTTTAAAATAAGTTTCAATAAAAAAAATTCGGAATGAGATTTGTTTTGCATCAAATCCAAGGTCTAGTAATAAGTTCTTTGTGTCATCAATAAGATTTTCAAACTATCAATAAATCTTTCGAACATGATGTTAAGAACTTTGAACTATCATTCAAACCTATGGACATGAGTTTAATCTTAATGATTTTCATTGCATTTAAGAAACATGTTTCAAGAGAAGGGAATTCAGGATGAGGTTCACTTTGCACCAAATCCAAGGCATAGTAATAAGCCTTCTTTGGACCATTTATAAAATCTTTCGACATAATGGTAATCTTGAAAAAATATATTATTTTCTTCACATTTTATAATAGTTGATTATAAGATATTATTTTGTTGAGTCTCATGACTATTAAAATTATAAAATGGTCTCGAATATAGGGAATTGTTTTTGTTGAGTCCCTCAACTATTAAAAGTTACAAAATGATCACTCGATTATTCATTATGTTCCAAACTCATCCTTTTCGTTAAAATTTTTAATGATTGTCTGAGTTGGACGTTAACATACTGATTGAAATCAAATTCTGTCATATATCAGTCAGCATGTTAATGTCCAGCTCAGATTATCGGTATTTTTTTAACATCCATCTCAATTTTCGTAACTTTTGATTTGAACTATGGAAAAACCGAGAATGAATCTAGGAATTAGGATCTACGACAAGCAGGTAAAGTTCGATCCTCTAGAGTTGCCAAAGCTTCGAAACAATGGGGAACAACATCGTCGTTACCAGGTTACATTTCGACCTCTGGTATTCAAAGAGAAGAATAAAAAAAACACCCATTTTTTATTCAAAAAGGCTTATGAGAAATGATCAACTTTTTACTTTTATGTTAGATATAAAGTGGAAACTTTTAAAAGTTCAAAGATTAAATTAAAATTTTGTTTATTTTATTAATATTTCATATCATCAAATTGAAGTGAGTTAACAGTTTAATGATTAAAACTTAATGAATCAATGATGTACATGATTGAAATATAAATGTTTAAAAATCAGCATTCAAAATAAGGTAAAGTTAAAATAAAAGTGACATTTGAATAATTTACCCTTTATTATAAAATAAAATCTTATTATGAGCATGATAATAGTAAACATGTGTCGTTAAAGTTCGAGACATACGTGGACTTTACATTTTAAAAATAAAAAAAGAATAAAGTAAGGTATGATATCAAATTGATGTTAATTTAGCCCAAATTATGCCAGCCTCGAGGAAGAAAGAGGGGGGGAAGTAAAATTTGAAAAAAGGTAGTGTAGTTAGTAAATAAAATAAATATATAAAAAGTGAGTTAACGCGTTAAGGGTGGACGCCGAGAGACGCGGCTTGACAGTCAAACCTTTGGAATTAGTGGCTGAAACCCATTGCACTCTATGAGTCAATCTCATAACTCACAAATCAAATAATAATACCCTCTATTTTATGAAAAAGACATCTTACCCGTTTGTTTCGTACATCTAAATGATTTAATGTTGACTGATTCAGTAAAATAATATTGAATGATTCAGTATCAAAGTATATTCTGAATGATTCAGAGTTATTATCAAATAACATATCACATTCAGAGTTAATTCATACAGAACCTCTGAATCATTAAATATTTGAATTATTCAACGCTTAATCATTCTGAACTAAACAAACAACCCCTAGTCTTTAAAGTTTTTTTCCTCTTTTAGCGCTCAAATTTTTAATTTTTTGTTTGATTGAAACAAGTGACAAAAAATAGATTTATTAAGTTGATATCAATTAAGAGATTATTTATTTTGTTCCTATTGGATAAAAATTTAAATTTTATTTTAAATATAATATATTTAAAAATAATAAATTATTAAAAATATAAATAAATATATTTAGCTTTTTAC